CTCAAACTCCTGATCTCAAGTGATTCGCCCATCTCAGCCTCCCAAAGTGCTGGGATTACAGGTGTGAGCCACCGGGCTCGGCACCTGGTTTATTTTTGTGCATGCTTTTATTTTTAATTTTCCTATGCTACTTTCTTAGCCAAAATTTATACTTAATCTAATCAAGCATTAAGCTAACGAAGAGTTTAGTGTTCATATAAAAAATACAGTTTTACAAATCTATTTTTCTTTAAATTATAAATGTGTTAAGAATATCATCCAATGAAATGATCCAGAAGCAAAAGGATGGCTGTGTATCTTTTCAATATCATCCTGGAGCATTGTCTCAACCATCTCACTTTATGGTGATTTAATCATCTAGAGGTTTTCCCTTTGTTTTCTGTGTTACTTAGTATTGATTAATACTGTTGCACTACTTCAGTCTGAAATTACACGGTAATTTGTAGATTTTTTTTTTTTTTTTTTTTTGAGACAGAATCTGGCTTTGTTGCCCAGGCTAGTGTGCAGTAGTGCGATCTTGGCTCACTACAAGCTCTGCCTCCCGAGTTCAGGCCATTATCCTGCCTCAGCCTCCCGAGTAGCTGGGACAACAGGTGCCCACCACCACGCCCGGCTAAATTTTTGTATTTTTTTTTTAGGAGAGACGGGGTTTCACCCTGTTAGCCAGGATGGTCTCAGTCTCCTGACCTCGTGATCCACCTGCCTCGGCCTCCCAAAGTGCTGGGATTACAGGCGTGAGCCACCGTGCCTGGCCGTTAATTTGTAGATTTTTATACAGAAGAGCAGCAAAATATTTCTGTTGAGTAGAAAATATAACTCCAATGCTTATGACTGCACTCTCTATAGGACACCAACTCATGGTGTGTCTAACCCAGCAATTTTATGTCAACACTCTTTTCTCAAACCTCTATAAACTTTGGCTGGACACAGTGGCTCACACCTGTAATCCCAGCACTTTGAGAGGCTGAGGCAGGTGGATCACCTTAGGTCAGGAGTTCAAGACAAGGCTGGTCAACGTGGTGAGACCCCGTCTCTACTAAAAATACAAAAAATTAGCCAGGCATGGTGACCCACACCTGTAATCCCAGCTACTCAGGAGGCTGAGGCAGGAGAATCTCTTGAACGCAGGAGGTGGAGCCAAGATCGCGCCACTGCACTTCAGCCTGAGCGATAGAATGAAACTGTGTCTCAAAATAAATAAATAAAATAAATAAATCAGAGATTGTGAATAGGATGTTGGATGTACCCAAGTTATGAATTAATTAGGAGCTTGAACCCAGGAGGCAGAGGTTGCAGTGAGCTGAGATCACACCACTGCACTTTAGCCTGAGCGATAGAATGAAACTGTGTCTCAATCAATCAATCAATCAGAGACTGTGACTAGGATGTTGGATGTACCTAACTTATGAATTAATTGGGAGCTTGAACCCAGGTTTGTCTCAGATCCTCAGGGACCGAAGACTTCCAAGTGATTTGTGGGTAATGTATAGGTCTATACTACTCCAAATTCACAGTTTTCAGACTTCCCTGGGTTCTCACGAACCTTCCATGTCATTTGTATGTTTAGGTTGAGGTCCCTGGTCTTTTCCCCTCTGTAATTAATTTCACACCCACCCCTATCTCAACTCACACAACTTGATTTTCACTCTCATCTTCTGAGAAATTGAGTCCATAAAAAGTGAACTCCTTTAAACTCCAGATCTTCTCCTACTGCTGCTGCAAGGACAGACATTCCCTTCTTGTTCTCTCTCTCCTCCTTCACTTCTAGTCCTTTGCTCCTTCTGCATTCGATTACTCTCCTCTCTCCTTTGTCTTCAATCTCTCCTTCTTGCAATAGCCAACTATAAACTGCTCAAGCTTCTCATTCTTAAAAGATCACTCTTAAATGCAAATTCCCTGCTGCCTTATGGCTCTCCTTCAAAAGTAATCTACATTTTCTCTATTTTCTACTTCCTCAACACACTAACATTTGAATCCTGCTTCTATGACCCTGACCTAAATTTCTTTTAAATGTACATAGATAAACTAATACGTATTTGCGACTTCCTAATATTGTTTTGATTTTTAGAGAGGTCAATTTTACTTTAACTCTGTAGTGATGCGTTCGACCTTCTGATGATTCTCTACTTCTGTGAAATCCTCTACTGTCTTGACTTCTATAGGGTCATTCTATTCAAGCTCATTGAACGTCTGTCACTATGTTTTTGATCTGTATTGCAGTTAGTTCCTCTATCTGCCTTGTGAATGTTCTCCATTGTGTTAATCTAGGCTTTCTTCTCCTTTCGCTTTTCATATTACCTCAAATGGTTTTATATACTCTTGTGGTTTTAACCACAATGTAGGGTTTTTGCTGTAGTTATGCTTTCAAATTGCATATTTCTTTTTCTTTCTTTCTTTTTTTTTTTTTGAAATGGCGTCTTGCTCTGTTACTCCAGTCTGGAGTGCAGTGGTACGATCTTGGCTCACTGCAACTTCCACCTCCGAGGTTCAAGTGATTCTCCTACATCAGCCTCCGGAGAAGCTGGGATTACAGGCATGTGCCACTATGCCTGCTTAATTTTTTATTTTTAGTAGAGACAGGATTTCACCATGTTGGTCAGGCTGATCACAAACTCCTGACCTCAGGTGATCCGCCCTCCTCGGTCTCCCCAAGTGCTGAAATTACAGGCGTGAGCCACCATGCCTAGCCTCAATTGTATATTTCTAATATGACTTTTCTCCTGAACTTTAAACTGTGTATCCAACTTTTCACCATAGTCATATCTTTTGATTGCACAGGTAATTTAATGTCAATACATTTAAAAATGAATTTACCACGTTTATCCCCACTGTTTGACTTTCACCTACATTTCTGTCTCAATTCCTGTTTCCATCCATTCATTTGCTCACCTAATTCTTAAACATGGAAATCATCCTCACTTCCTCTTCTTAACCCAAAAATTCAGTTGTGCAGGTTATACACTGAGAAAGGAGCCTCAGATCAGTGTGATAAATCAGAGATTAGTGAACTTTTTCTGAAGGGCCAAATACTAAGTGCTTTAAACTTGCGTACCATATGGTTTCTGTTGTAACTACCAACTCTACTGCTATAATGTAAAAACAACCATAGATAGTACATAAACAAATGAGACAGGCTGGGCGCCAATGAAAATTCACAAAAATTAATGTAGTTTATTGTCCCTTGGGTGAGAGTTGGGGGTCACTGAAATTCAGACTATGTCTTACTTGGCTAAACCATGGGCCTAGAGTGGGCATATAAATGGAGCTATTGGCCTAGTGATTTTCTTACCTTAAGCCCCCAGACCCAAATTTAATCATCATATCCTTTCAATTTCATTTTCCGGATATATCTTGAATATATGGCTTCTCCTTTCCAAATTCATTGTCATTGCCTAAGTTTAGTCTTTGAACAATATTTTAAAGACTTCCTTATCTGACTTTGTATCTTAAAGTCCTACAAATTTATCTTCCTAAAATTCAAATCAAACCATGTCACCAACTTACATAAAGGGAAAATTCATATATTCTACACACAGCACATTTCATGTAACTTTCTAGGCTCGTCTTTCATCCTCCTTTTGATGCAGGATTTTTGGCTCCTTAGTTCAGCAGAATTCAGGATCTCATCTCATGACCAGGAAGAATTAGGCAGGTAGATGTAATGAAGGGTGAGGATGATGCAACTTATTACGCGAAAGGGGAGCTCTCTGCAAAGAGAGGGGTTTCTCCAGCAGGCTCCCACCTCACAGTGGAGTACCAGGACTTTCACAGGCAAGCTGAAAAGGCCAGGCTCCTCCCTAGCATAAGGCACGAATTCCTGGTGGTTCCACCAGTTTTCCTAGTATGCATGTGGGCGTGCCCAAGCAAACCATAGGTAGCATCAGAAAAGGCAACATTTGATTACTGAAAAGGCATTATTCAGAAAGAATCAATTGGGAAAGGGTGGGCCACCAGGGAAAGTTTTCCCTCTGTGTCACAGGTTTCATCTGGGACCAGGAGTCCGGTCTTTCAGCCTTTGGACTGTTTTGGGCTTGAAGGTGGGGTTTCACAGGGACCCTTTCCTATCTGCCTTGGCATCTGTCTGCCTCTTGCCTCTATCACTTTCTCTTGAGTTTTATATTTTAGCAACACTGAGTCATCTGTGTCCCAGGAAGCACCCATATCTGTGTATCTGCTGTCCCCTCTACCTTTACTACCTTCCCTTCTTCACATTTCAACCCAAAAAAGTCACTTCCCCTCCAAAAATTGGGATCAACTGTCATATTTTTATGAATATTTCCCTTTAATTCCTCACAACAGCTGACAGAATTAACTACTTCCTCTTCTTTGCAAGTTCTTTGGCTTACACAGATATCAGTAATTAAACATATTTTACCGCATTGGCATATATCTCACTAATGTGTTTTTCTCTTGTACTAGAGCATATGCTCCTTAGTCATCTGTGTATCTGAGGTGAGCACAGGGCCTACATAGCATATGGTGCATTCTCAATGTTCGTTCAACATGCAGAGAAAAGTAATCTACATTTTCTCTATTTTCTACTTCCTCAACACACTAACATTTGAATCCTGCTTCTATGACCCTGACCTAAATTTCTATCAAATGTACATAGATAAACTAATATGTATTTGCGACTTCCTAATATTGTTTTGATTTTTAAAGAGGTCAATCTTACTTTAACTCTGTAGTGATGCATTCGACCTTCTGATGATTCTCTACTTCTGTGAAATCCTCTACTGTCTTGACTTCTATAGGGTCATTCTATTCAAGCTCATTGAACGTCTGTCACTATGTTTTTGATCTGTATTGCTGCAATTAGTTCCTCTATCTGCCTTGTGAATATTCTCCATTGTGCTAATCTAGGTTTTCTTCTCCTTTCACTTTTCATGTTACCTCATTGACTTGAATTCCCCTGAAGACTGAAATGTGAAAATAGCTATTCCCGGAAGCCCCTTTCCAGGGAGGTCTAAAATATTTACATGTTTCTATTTTAAATGCAGAAAGAACTTCCAGATCATTATAGGTCTTGGATGGAAATTGCCAACAAACTTCCTCAATTGATTGATGCTCACCAGCTTCGAGCTCATGTGGACAAGGTATTCTTCTCTTCACCCCCTTATCACATTCTGTTTTCATCATCATACCACTTTTATTCGCCTTGCGGAAGTGTGTCAATTGATCATTACCATTGAACTTATCAGCTAAGCTATCTCTACCTTTCCGGAAAACAGAATGACCCCTTCTGATACATGTGTTTTTCTAAGGTTTCCAGAGTCAGCACAAAACAATGGCTGTCACATACCAATCACTCACCAAATGTTTGTTTAAAGAAGAATCTGGGTGAGAATGATAAACTAATGGATAAGCTATGGCCTAGGAAGGCCAGCTTGGAAATTCTTAGGTTCCTCATTCCATGTACGTGTTCAGGGCTCTGTTGTTGCTGAGGGGGTCTACCTTGATTTTGTCCTGGGTGTTACAGAATAGTTAAATGGAGGGAATTTCTGAATTATAAAATTGGCCATGGGTTCTACAGAAACATCCAATAAGCCTGTAAATTCCACAAAAGTATTTATTAGGCTGGTACAAAAGTAATTGCAGTTTTTGCCATTACTTTTAATGTCAAAAACCACAAATGCTTTTGTACCAACCTAATAGCTATGTAACCCTGAAAAAGTTACTGAACACTATAATCTCATTTCCTTATTTATAAAATGTGAGAAACTCTGGTCTCACAGTATTGTTATGGGAACTAAATCACTTTCAAAGTGGCCCCTTTGTAGTTCTTGTCCTATTATAGCATTCAGTGTACATTCATTACTTCCCTGTAGTCTCTTCTCCATCTGTCTTAATCTTACCAATTTGGAGTACCACATAATTGCAGAAGTCCACGAAAAGTTTTCTACTCTCCAAAATTCCCCTTTACTGATGGATGATATTTAATGTCTAGAATTACAAATTCTTTTTAAAATACTCATTGAATGCCTGCTCTATGCAAAGCACTAGAACCCTGTAGAAGATGAATAAGGGACTGGCTTCAATGTCTATAAAGATAGCAAGCTAAGCAGAGTAATTTCTTTGCCTGATAGATAAAAGGTTGTGTTGACAAGACCAAAGAAATCCAAAAATAAGAAAAAAATTAAGAAAATAACTGTAAGCACAGAAAAACAGAGAAAAGTTCCAATGATGGAATAAAAAAGGATTTTTTTTGACCGTATTAAGCAAATCATGTATAAAATCCAGAAATAAGTTTACAGGACCCATGTCAAGTATTTAACCAAAGCAGAGGGAGATCCCCATGAGTCTCCCTTTCCCATCTCAGAATAGCAGAGAAGAGAAGCAAGGGAAGCCTGGAACAGTTGGCAGGAGGGCAGGTTAGAATTCAGTTTGTGAACTATGAGGTCCTCTGCCGCAGGCATTCACCAGGCTTTATTTGATTAAACTGCCATAATAGAAGAGAAGGACTTGTCAAATTGGGGCTCCTCCTAGCACAGCATTGAAACCAGTCCCTATTACTTCTTGGCCTTTTGGCTAAAATCGAGTGTGAAATCCATCACCTAACATTTGTACTGGGTTTAGGCTGGGTGCAGTGGCTCACGCCTATAATCCTAGCACTTTGGGAGGCCAAGGCTGGCGGATTGCCTGAGCTCAGGAGTTCGAGACCAGCCTGAGCAACATGGTGAAACCATGCCTTTACTAAAAATACAAAAAATTAGGCTGGTGTGGTGGCACATGCCTGTAGTCCCAGCTATTTGGGAGGCTGAAGCAAAAGAATCGCTTGAACCTGGGAGATAGAGGTTGTAGTCAGCTGAGATCACACCACTGAACTCCCTCTGGGCCACAGAGTGAGACTCTGTCTCAAAAAACAAAACAAAACAAACAAACTATATATATATATATATAAATTTTTCCTGGGTTTAGTAGTGTCTTCCTAGAAGTCATGTTCATGTATAATCTGTGAAAGTGGTCTTATTTGGAAATAGGATGTGTACAGATGTATTCAAGTTAAGCTGAGGTGATACTGGATTAAATTCTATATGATGAGTGTCCTTACAAGAAGAAGAAAAATCAAACACAGGGACATAGACACAAGGGAAAACATCACGTAAAGATGGAGGTAGAATTGGAATGATGCATTGACAAGCCAAGATGTGCCAAGGATTGCTGGCAGCCACCAAGAGTTAGGAGAGAGGCATGGAACAGAATGGAACAAATTCTCCCTCAGAGGCTCCAGAAGAAACCAACCCTATTGATACCTTAATTTGGGACTTCTATCTTCCATAACTGTGGCAGAGTACATTTCTGCTGTTTTAAGTCATGCCGTTTGTGGTCATTAGTTATGGCAGCCCATAAAACTTACACAACACTCTTGGTCTCTATCACTCCTTTTTTTTTTTTTTTTTTTTTGAGACAGAGTCTCACTGTGTCTCTCAGGCTGGAGTGCAGTGGTACGATCTTGGCTCACTGCAACCTCCACCTCCCAGGTTCAAGCAATTTTCCTGCCTCAGCCTCCTGAGTAGCTGGGACTACAGGCACCAGCCACCATGCCCATCTAATTTTTGTATTTGTAGTAGAGACAGGGTTTCACCATATTGGCCAGGCTGGTCTCGAACTCCTAACCTTGTGATCCACCAGCCTTAGCCTCCCAAAGTGCTGGGATTACAGGCATGAGCCACTCTGCATAGCCTCTATCCCTATTTTTAATTGCCTAGAAAATATCTAACAAATTAAGGCCAGTTTTTAGATTTTACCACCAAAGTCTGAGACTGAAACAGGAATTGTTTGTGAGAAGCAAATACAATAGTTTCCAGAGACTGAATCAGGAATTTTCTGTGAGAGGCAAATATGATAGTTTCCAGAACCACAGGTGGAGCTATAGACAAAAACGTGTTTTCTGGATCCTTTACTTGCTACAGACAACAGAATAAGTGAATTTACAGCATTGATGTTACAGTGAATCTAAGACAACCACCTTGTCTTAGAATGTCTCAACATACCTATCCGTATTTTGAAACAAAATATATTAATTGGCTTAGACCCATCCACTCACATTTCCCAGGAAGACATGATCAGAGGGAGCTATGCAAGAAGAAATCCAGCGGAATTCTGGAAATACAATAAGAAAATCCATATTAGACACTAATCTTAATAAAACTAACCTTTGTTCATGAATTTGAACACACAGAATTGTCAAATAATATGGAAAAAATGGGCAACTCAAAAAGAAGAGGGTAGCCCACTCGGCATTGCGGACCAATGGCCTCCAATAAATAATTAAGAGGATATTGTGCTTTAAATATTCTATTTTGTGTATCCAGTATATTGCCTTCATAAATCAAGTGAAAGCTGATATATAAAAAGAACTATTAGAAATAAAAAACCACACACATCCAAAAACTCCTCAATATAAACTCAACAAATTCAGTGAAACATTGATTGTAAAAAATATATATAGTGATTTAGGTACTTCTTTGAGAAATTTCATAAAGCATAAAGCAAAAATCAAAGAGTGCAAACTATCAGAAAAATAAAAATATATAAAAAAGAGAAATACAGGTGATCCAAATTCGTTATCATGGATTCCTATAAGCAGATGGGTGGAGGAAAAGTAAAACTTCCAACATATAAGCACAAATTTTTTAGACCTTAAGAAATATTTGAGTTTTTTATATCAGAAAGAAATGGGGTGAGGGTTGGGGGGCACATGTAAATACTCAGATGAAATTGTGAATTTTCTAGCATAAAGAAATCTGAATGTTCATAGAAAACAAAAATGAAAAACAGTTTGTGTACAGAGTAAATACATAGGACTGTTCACCTGTAACACTAAATATTAAAAGACAGTTTCTTTTCTTTTTTTTTGAGACAGAGTTTCACTCGTCGCCCAGGTTGGAGTGCAATGGTGCCCTCTTGGCTCACTGCAACCTCTGCCTCTGGGTTCAAGCAATTCTCCTGCCTCAGCTTCCCAAGTAGTTGGGATTACAGGTGCCCACCACCACGCCCAGCTAATTTTTGTATTTTTAGTAGAGACGGTGTTTCACCATGTTGGCAAGGCTGGGCTCAAACTCCCGACTTCAGGTAATCCACCCGCCTCGGCCTCCCAGAGTGCTGGGATTACAGGCATGAGCCACCATGCCAGCCTAAAAGACAATTTCATACCTATTTGGATGGCTAAATTTCTTTTTTTAATCTGGCCATATCAAATGCTGAAGAGGATGTATAGCAATAGAGACTTTCATTCATTGCTAGTTGAAATGCAAAATGGTACAGCCAATTTGAAAACTAGCTTGGCAGATTCTTATAAAATGAAACATAGATTTACCACACAACTCAGCAATAGCATTCCTAAGTATTTATCCAAGTAAGTGGGAAATTTATGTTCCCAGAAAAGAAAATCCATATGTGAATGTTTATAACAGCTTTATTCATAATCACCAAAAAAAAAAAAAAAAAACTTGAAGAAAACAAAACAGGATATCCCTCAACAGGGGAATGAATAAACCAAGTTATAGTAATTGTAAATTGTGGAATAGATAGTGGAATAGTATTCAGTGATACAAATGATTGAGCAATTCATTTGTGCAATGACAGGGATGAACCTTAAATACATTTACCTAAATGAAAGATGTCAGGCCTATATTTTATGATTCTTTTCAAACGACTTTCCAGAAAAGGCAAAACTAGAAGGATTAAATATACCTTTATGGTTACCAGAGACAGGCAAGGAGTGGCTAGCTGACTGCCAAGGTAACATAGAGGGGAATGTTTAGCATGATCGAACTGTTTTATATGGCACTCAGGTGATAGATATATGGCTCTAGGCACTGAAAAACCCATAGAATTGTATGTCACAAAGAATGGACTTTCATGTATGCAAATTTTAAAAAATAAACCAGAATATTGAGAGAATACTAGGATGGAATGCAGATGTGACAATAAAACTAACTGGACTCTCAGCAAACTAACACAGGAGCAGAACCAAACACCGCATGCTCTTACTTATATGTGGGAGTTGAACAATGAAAACACAGGACACAGGGAGGGGAACATCACACACTGGGGCCTGTTGGGGGGTGGGGGGCTAGGGGAGGGAGAGCAT